TAGGAGGGTGCAAAAAGGTCTTACAACCCTAAGTTCTAATTTTGCATTCCTTGTTTTTTTTTAGGTTTACATCAAACTATTATTTCAATAGTGAATTGTTAATTGCATGTTTTCAAATTAAAATGTATTTATCAAAACAAAATTTAAACAATTTTGGTCATAACTATAACTTCTTCATTGAAAATATCCAGCAAACTTTTTGACCGTAACTTTCAAATGAAGTTTGAGGGATTTTTCCTTTAAATACTATCAAGTTTAGCATGCAAAAACATATTTGAAACAAAAATTCCAAAAAATTTCTTAGGAATTTAACTACATTTATGCCAAATTATAATAAAGTATTAAGACTGTAGTTGTTCTAAAATGTTGTGGGCCTATAAATAACTATGCAGGAAACAAAATATTGTGAAATCCATACATGTTATCTAAAACGCAATATTTTAATAATGAAGAATCCTATRGTGAATACATAATAATACAATTTGTTGGTAGGTACTGTGGTATATTGTAGACAGTCGTCAAAAAAATATTATTTAATATACGTATATGTTATGTAGGTGGGAATATTTTAAATTGTAAATTTTTAACATAGGTCAGTGAAGCTGGATATGCTGAGACAACATAAATATTTCTTATATAACACCACCAGACACACAGGCGTGGGAGAGTCCCGTTGTCGCTGAATGAGTCGGCGAGAATGTGGGTACGACGATTGTACATGTGAAACGACAATCGTAGTGCGGGCTAGGCAATCTGGATTTGCTAAGCGTTTTATTTTTTTATTTTTTTTTTAAGCCTCAACAACAAAGGTTATTGGTTAAAGGGTGTTTTAATTTTATTTATGTTTGTTTTAATTTAATAAAAGTTTTTCCGACCTGAAACCTGAGTTGAATATTATTATTTCAAGTCTTCTTCGTTCATACGTTTACATTGGAACAGTACTCAGACACACAGACTTATTAGTAGAATTTATTATATTTATAAATTAATGATTAAGACCTTTTAACAAAATAAATTAAGTAATATTTGTAATGAAAATTTATTAAAATAGTCTAGTTACGAATGAACATGTTTATTTATCAAAATTTATCCTAGCAAAGTAAACAAACCACTTAAATTTAATAAATTTAATTTACTTATAATTTATTTAGGATATAATATAATGCTTAAGTCTTATAAATATATAGTTTTTTTTTTTTGACTTGGCATTTTTTACACGGATTTGACAAAGTGTTTTTGTGGGGATAATAATATGCTGTGATAAGTATGTTATTAAACACCTAGTATTTTATATTATAGATTTGTAACTAATAATATAAAAATATAAGATGGGAGAACAGAAAAGTCTAATACAATTTTTTTGTGAAATTCAATCCAAAAAAATAATCAACATAAATAATACATTTCTTATAAACAAAACAATTAATAGAATTGTTAATCTTGATGAGAATATGTCAATCAATCAAATGATAAAAAGTCGATATCTATTTGTAAATCTAAATAACACATTAATATTATGTTGGTAATTTAATTAAATCAATATTTTATACCAGGATAATAAGTTRATTTTCCAATTGTATAAAGACATTTTCTATAAATAAATTATATTTAACTAGGAACATCATAAACGACGTAAACCAGACATGAACTAAACTCAGTTGTATATACATCAACAATTATTATATAATACATAATTGACTACCAATGTAATTGAATTATGCTGATTTAAATAAAATAAATAAATATATGGATAATTTAAATTTATTTGTGGTTTAAAAATTTGCATTTGTAGCATTTGTATTAGTACTTTTTTAACAACAGGAGCTCCGTGAACAAAAAAGAGAACCGCAAATATAACATATGTAAAGAATACGTAAATAATATTTAATTTGTAATTTGTAATTTACTGTGCTATGCACATTTTGTGTGGTTAGTAGTAGTAATAAGAAAAAGATAATAAAACAAATCAATATTGTAATATGAAAATATTAGTATATTATAGGGTAAGATGTAAATAGTGTAGAAATAGTAACTAAAGAAATTGAATGAATAATAAACATTTATTTCTGTTTCTTTGTTAATAGGCAAGTTCTGTATATAACATAATAGCATAATAAAATATAAAATAATAATAAATAAAATCTGTGTTTATTGTTGAGAAACATACTATTATTTGTCTTGAAGAAATCCCTGATAAATGAAAATATAAATCAAATATATATCTTTAAACTTCAAATGGAATAACTCAGAAAAATTTTACGCAGTTCAAAAACAATAAGTCAACGTTTTCAGAAAAATCATCTAATTCACATTTTGTATTAAAACATGTAGGTTCTCAAATGAAAAACCAAAGTAAGTAGATTTATAGTAAAATAAATATTATAACAAAATATTCTTTGCTCAGACTATTTACTGTACATTATTATCTAGCATTGAATTCCAATTTAACAAATCCATTTTGTGGCCTCCTCAATTTTTAAGTACAATCGACACTTAAAACAGTGGAACCTCCGAATTTTTTTAAGTCTCAAACGACCAAAAATAAAAATAAAAACTTTAAGTTACCTCGGTAATTCAAAATATTTAAATAAATGATTGGGATATAAAACTTCTATAGGTATACTAAAACTTCTTGATACATCCGTACACAAAAAATCAATTGGTACTTTTTTTTAAATATTTTTATTACGCATGATACTGTATAACAATTTCATGTATCTACTTACCGTTTAATGCCATATTTAATACTTCAAGAAAGTTGCCTTGAGAAGCATGTGATAAATAACCTTCAGGTATAGAGCTAATTGAAACCCCAGAATCTTGAAGTAATTTATGATGATAATTTAAAATATCTATTTTGTATGTATAATAAAGACGTCGAAGAAGCATTAATGAAGCTGCTGCCCAATCTTCATAACGTTCATTTTGAATTACTACCCTAAAAAAAGAAATAAAAATATTTAATTTAACATTATTAAATTATAATATTTAGTTTAACATATTTAAAATATTTGAATCATTTTAAAATGTTTAACATTATATAATGATGTGAACATACTGTTATTATAAGCTTAAAAAAATTGATAAAAATACAAACATTTTTAATATTATATTATTTAAAATATATCCTAATACCTTTAATACTTATTGTACAACTAAGTGTTAGAGAAATTTTCAGATTACAAAAGCTATGAAATTAAATGATAAATCAGGGTCTATTAATTGTAATACACTGGTGGGTCACAAGATAAGTCCAAGTATTGCATAAGATAAAGTATATAAAATTATGMAAAATGTACAAGCATTTTTAACACAATTTATAAAAATTAACTGGTATTTTGGCGATGATTAAAATTAAGTTATCTACCATTAATATGGATCATTAATTTTATTTTGATAGTAACCCGTATTTCCCATGCATTGTTCATGTGACAAGCCAAAAACAAACAAAGTCAAATTACTGATTTTTTTTTTAAATTTAAGCATGCTAGGTGAAAATCAAAATGTATGAATTCTATTGATAAAATTATAGCAGTTATCAAAGCTGAGCATTAACTAATTAATAAGTTAAATTAACTATTTTCTTTTGTATTTTTATTAACTTAACTATTGACTYACTGAATTCGTTATATTTAACTAACTTGAAATTAACGAATTAATTTTTCATTTTAAGCAGTAATTTAAGTTAAATTATTTTGTTTTCAATTTTATTAAAATATTACTATTCCAGTCTATTTTGTWTTCATGTAAAAAGAAAATTACAGTGAATTATTTTTAAAGTTAAAAATTGTGTATATTTTTTTATCACCTACTTTAAAGGAATTCTCCCTGTGGGGTCGATGATTAGAATAGACCCACAGTAACTCCTGTTTATCGTAGAAAGCGATTAAAAGGAGGTAGCGGAGGGTAGCAGTAACCGCTACTACTGACCATCGGCGAGTTTTGCAACAGAACTAACGGCAATGGAAGGTTTTGATGGGGCAGATTGAGCATATTCCAAATACTGGCCTATCAACTGTGATGTGGAAGGAGAAGGATACCACCACATTAGAAATCTTAGTAAGCAGTATGAACCGAAGTTATGAAGGGATGGAAGTTATTAGACCAGATATATATTCGGAAATATCAGTTGTCTCGGCAGGAGAAGAAACAAGGCTTCTCAGGTCGTCAGCAAGCGTCACATTGGAACGTGGAACGTAAGAACTATGTTAAATACTGAAAAGCTAGAAAATATTAAAGTTGAAATGACAAGGTTAGACGTAGATATATTAGATGTAAGTGAAACACGATGGGTAGGAAATGGAGATTTCTGGTCTGATGATTACTGTGTTATACACTCTSGAGATGAAAGAACAGGAAGAGCCGGAGTTGGAGTTCTAATAAACAAAAAACGGGATCAACAAGTGATAAATAAGATAGCATACAATGACAGACTTATAATGGTGAAACTTAAAGCTGAACCCAGCGATATCGAAGTAATTCAAGTATACTTTCCAACAACTGAAGCAGAGGACAACGAGATAGAAGAAAGTTACGCAGGATTCGAGGAACTCTGTAAATTAGCGAAAGGTAGTGACAACTTAATAATAATAGGGGATTGGAACGCTGTTGTAGGCGAAGGTGCTGAAGGGCAAGTAGTAGCATCCTATCCCACCAAAACATACATGTAAAATGATAGCCAAGTTCAATACTATAATATATGCTCTGGTTGTTGACTTYAACGACAAAAGAAGTGAGATCTAAATGGAAGCCAAGTTCAATGGTCAGTCTAGAAATTTATTTATAACAACATAACATATAATTTCTTCTTATCACTTAGAATAATGTTTTGAAACCTAAGGTCTGACTTGGCTAGTTTCCATATACCAATTATGTTATAGCCTTCACAAATTCTAAAGTTGTGAGTTATTTTYTATCCCTCTAAAAATTTGACTTGCTGGTAGAAACTAGCTATCGAACATAGTGCTCTTCCATGACTGTTTTAGTTGGTACCTACTTAATAATAATTCGTATATGACAACTAGCCAAGTCAGACCTTAGGCTTCAAAACATTATTTTAAGTGATAAGAAGAAATTATATGTTATGTTGTTATAAATAAATTTCTGGATTGACCATTGAACTTGGCATCCATTTAGATCTCACTTCTTTTGTCGTTGAAGTCAACAACCAGRGYATATATTATAGTATTGAACTTGGCTATCATTTTACATGTATGTTTTGGTGGGATATCATTACTTTTTGTTTGTAAATTATTAATTGCTACTTATTCACAATAATATTATTTCCAAATGGTTTTTGCTAAATTATTGTATTTTCCTACGTTTACGGGTTATAATTGTCTTTTTTGTGTTATTATTTATATTTTCTTGTACTTTTGAAATGTTGGAGTGAATTACCCATTCAGTATCTGGATTTATTTTTTTCTTTTTTTTTTCACGTCAAGGTTTTATCGCACCGCTCCCTTCCCCGCTACACCGAGGCAAATATT